TAGGTTTATAAACAAATGGTACTCAGTATTTAAGTATGGGTCTCCAGTCCTTGGTACACCAAGACTTGCTGAAGGAATTCAACTACATTTGTTCTCAAGCTAATATAGAGAAAATTTATCCCACAATCTGATTACATGCAGGACAGTTAAAAATGCTTCTATTGTATAATGAGCATGATCATTCTATAGCAGTTCTCTCACACTCCTCTCACAGATGAGGAAATTAAGGCCTCAAAAGTTATTTTACTGGTTTGCATGCTCAGCAAAATTGTTGTGTCCGTCTCTTTCTGACCCCATGGACTGTAGCCTGCCAACCTCTTCTGTCCATGGGATTCTCCAGGCAAGAATACTGGAGTGCGTTGCCATTTCCTCCTCCAGGGAATCTTCCTGGCTCAAGAATCAAACTTGCATCTCCTGTGCCTCGGGACTGCCTAAAGACATACTGACTTGGAAGCAGCACTGAGCTTAGAGTAGATTTTCCTAGGCTCTGAGTTCATGAACATTCCCACACTGGTACCCTTTTATGAAGGTCCTAACTGACAGTTTGTGGGACTTGAATTGACTAAATTTGATTTGTAGGTTGGGTGACAACACTAATTTTAGCTTGAGGGAATTTGTAACTTTTTTTTTTTTTTGGTGAAAGCCATGCTCCTTCTTGCTCGATATTAAAAAACTCTTCAGGTTTGAAGCTTAGACAGTCTAGAAAATGCTTCTCATTCCACTGGAAAAAGAATGTTAAGCAGTTTGGAAGTCTTTTGGGTCTCTAATCAATTATTCTGGTCTCCTTCCACTGAACAAAAAACTTCAGCAGAGATGAATTGCTTCTTGGCAGGTTTTATTCCCACTTTGTTTTAGTAGGATTTACACTGCTGCCTTTTCCAGGCTGTCAATTCTGAGAATTCCCAGAAAGAGAAGGAAATGGGTGAAATCTTGGGGAAGTGCATGAAAACACAAAAACGCTTATGTTTGGAAAACAAGATTTTGTTTTTCCCTTCTAAAGGAATTTCATAAAAACCAACAGTTTTATCAAATAATGATATATAGAACATCTACCAACAATAGCAGGTATGCATACATCTTTGTATGTATTTTTAACATTGTCTTTATCTGTTTGTACAAGAGTTAAACATCACTGAAAGGTGAAACATCCAGCCTGTTATCCAGAAGTTCACAGAATCTGGGTAGAGAATAGGACAGTTTTTTTTTTTAACCCTGGTTTAACTCTTCTCCTTTCATAAACTACAGTTGTTGTTGTTTAGTCACTAAGTCGTGTCTGACACTTTTGCAACTCCTTGGACTGTAGCCTGCCAGCCTCCTCTGTCCATGGGATTTCCCACTCAAGAATATTGGGGTGGGTTGCCATTTCCTTCTCCAGGGGATCTTCCTGACCCAGGGATTGAACCCATGTCTCCCTAGTCTCCTGCTTGGTAGGCAGTTTCTTTACCGCTGAGCCACCAGTGAAACCCCCATAAACTAGCATGCTACCTGTTAAAATGATTCTAGGGAACTGTAGTGAAAGCAAAATTCACAGCCTTTCTAGAAGCAGGACTTCTAAACCATAGTATATTGAGGTTCATTTGTTATCTCTGAGAGGAGATTGCATTATAAACACTCCTCAATTATACTTGGTCAGAGAAAAGTAAGCCATTATTTCTCATGAGCTCAAATGCAACTACTATTTTAAGGACTACCTTTTGCATGACTTCTGGTTAATTAGATGCTGCACTTAATTTGATGCAATGATTCATCAGTCTAATATTTCCTTTGTAAAAAATTACCTCTGAAATGATAATATTTTCTTATTCATAAACTTACTCCCACCTTGTAACTTATTTTAAAGATGAGATTGCACACAGTTTGTCAGTCTTTTATGAAAATAAAAGTGTGCTTAGTAGAATTGGGCTGGAATCTGCAAAGCTAAAACTCTAGTGCTGCTGCTGGAGGGTAGTAATGGGATGGAGGATCTATTAGGTTTTATTTTGTAAAGCTATGTTGTGGCAGAGTGGGGGTGGAGCTGGAGGTTGTGCCTTCCCAGGTTCTACCGTAACAGTTCAGTTCAGTTCAGTCACTCAGTCCTGTCTGACTCTTTGCGACCCCATGAATCGCAGCATGCCAGGCCTCCCTGTCCATCACGTCAGGCCTCCCTGTCCATCACCAACTCCCAGAGTTTACCCAAACTCATGTCCATTGAGTTGGTGATGCATCCAACCATCTCATCCTCTGTCATCCCTTTCTCCTCCTGCCTTCAATCTTTCCCAACATCAGGGTCTTTTCAAATGAATCAGCTTTTCACATATTAAAAAGCAGAGACATTACTTTGTCAACAAAGGTCTGTCTAGTCAAGGCTATGGTTTTTCCAGTGGACATGTATGGATGTGAGAGTTGGACTATAAAGAGGGCTGAGCGCAGAAGAATTGATGCTTTTGAACTGTGGCATTGGAGAAGACTCTTGAGAGTCCCTTGGACTGCAAGGAGATCCAACCAATCCATCCTAAGGGAAATCAGTCCTGGGTATTCATTGAAAGGACTGATGTCAAAGCTTTTTAATATGCTGTGTAGGTTGGTCATAACTTTGCTTCCAAGGAATAAGCGTCTTTTAATTTCATGGCTGCAGTCACCATCTGCAGTGACTTTGGAGCCCCCCAAAATGAAGTCAGCCACTGTTTCTACTGTTTCCCCATTTATTCGCCATGAAGTGATGGGACCAGAGGCCATGATCTTAGTTTTCTGAATGTTGAGCTTTAAGCCAACTTTTTCACTCTCCTCTTTCACTTTCATCAAGAGGCTTTTTAGTTCCTCTTCACTTTCTGCCATAAGGGTGGTGTCATCTGCATATCTGAGGTTATT